ATGAGAATATAACCATCTAACTCATTATTTTCCATCCTTTTTGAAAATTGAAGAGAACAAAATGATCGACCATATTCACAAAACATCCGTAACTTTTGTGATGTTATCAAAAAGTGTTTATTTTTTTTTCCAAAAATAGAATTAGACGCCATGACACCTCGGGTTGCTACTGATCTAGCCTTCCCCCCTCCCATGACCGAGCCGAGCAGAGTAACTAGAATCGGAAACAAAGATATTAATGCAAATCAACTCTTTTCCTTTGTATTTACTTTGTTTTCCGCGGGTTTGTAATATATCCTTTTCACCACTTTTGTTGGCTATCATTTCATTCATCACATCAATTAACTCTTAATATGATTCTGTACTCGACCCATATATGAGCCAATACGGACCCATTACCCAGCAACAGATATCAGAAACAGTAAAATGTGATCTCGAATGAAAATAACAGTGATTCAGCTTTCATTGTGTGTTTCCGTGACTCAGCATGATTCAGTATACTTCGCTGTCGTCTTAACTGAGGCATAGGGACCGGCGGAGTCACGTGCTCGACTCATGAGAATGCTGGGTAAAAAAGGGTTTCAACAGCACCTGACTTACTCATGTTTTGTCTCTCTCTCTCTCTCTCTCTCTCTCTCTATCTCTCTATCTATCTATCTATCTATCTATATATTATATATATATATATATATATATATATATATATATATATAATGCTTTTCATAACGTATCTCTTTCTTCTTTATCCGTTGACAGGTCTCAGGCGTACGGCGGGCCGGACTCGTCGGTGAAGAAGCAGGGGAGAAAGCCGGAAATTTGATCAATAAACTTAAAATCCCCCCCTTCCATCCTTGGTCAACTCGGTGGCTGTGCACTATTCCCTCCCCACTCTTTCTTACTGTCTCTTTTCCTTTTTTTTATTATATCCCCTTCCCAGTCGTACAGGTCGCAGTCGTCGCGCTGTTCCTTAAATGCAAAGTACTACCTGGAATGCATAGTTTGGAAGTACTCTTATGGTTATTGACTAGAGTCGTTTCGTTTGGGTTTGTTTATTTTTCAGAATGAACGAGAAGAGAGATGGGAGAGAGAGAGAGAGAGAGAGAGAGAGAGAGAGAGAGAGAGAGAGAGAGAGAGAGAGAGAGAGAGAGAAACAAACATGTCTACCAACAAACCATTTCTTAAAATACCAAGTAAAAAGCCACGACACAGCAAGAGACGGCGAGATGGGAAGGGAAGAGTGAGAGAACTACAAATCATGTGACAAAGAGGTGGGTTCTGCTGCACCAGGCTGGCAGTGGTTGTGTATCCGGTTAGTGTTGACCGGGCCTACTTGTGTCTCTGCGTTCATACTAGATTATGAAAATATTTGCGTTGCTATACAGTCATTCCTATAATAAACAAACAGAAACACATACTCGTTCAATCCAGTCATTCAAACTCATTAGAACCTTATACTTGTGTTGATAAACATTGTATATATAAGGTGGTGGAAGGGGTATTAAAAGCACGTACTGAGTACACGCTTGTGATACCCCTTTTCAGCATCTGATAGACCAGTATCGGGTTTGTCCTATATAGTCTCACTAAACATAACACCGAAAAGGTCATTAGGTAAATATTCAACTTCAGCAGAGCTAAGTCTGTTCGATAACCGGACCTCCGTACCCGATCCCAGCGCCCCCAAAAAACAAAAATAACCTGGGAAATCTTTTGCAAATTTCATTGTTAAAGAGAGCAGTTTCTTTTACAGATTTTTGTGATTAATATGCATGGCGATGTAGGTAATTTTCTGTCTTACATCCGCCGCTCGCATATTGATGAAAATATTATTATTATCGTTACTATAATTATCATTATTACTATTAGTGTTATCATTATCATTATAATCATTATCATTATTATTATCATTATTATCATTACCATTACTATCATCATTATTATCATTACTAATATTATTATTGCTTTTGTCAATTTCATTATCACTATTACTATTATTATCATTATTACCATTATTATTTTCATCTTAATAAAAATAGCAATAATGATACTATACTATCAATGATAATAATGATAATGATATCAATAATGATAATGATAATGATGATAATAATAGAAATAATTATAATAATAATGATAGTAACAATGATATCAAAATAATAATCATCATAATAACAACAATAATAATAATAACAACAATAACAATAATTAGAATAACAATAATATTGAAAATGGTGATAATACTACTTCTAATACTAACACTAATGATAATAATGCTAATAGTAATAATAATAAAAAATAACAATAATGAAAGTAATGAAAATAATGGTAATTGCGTTGACAGTTATAATAATAATAACAATAATGATAAAATACTACATCTAATAAGGAGTGATTATTATATATATCATTATTATTATAATAATTCTTATTACTAGTGTCACCATTATAGGCTTTTATTATCATTGTTACTATTATCATCATCACAACTTACCATTATTAGTAATTCTTATTGATGTTAAAATATCCATTTTTGTTAGCACTATCATCTTTATTATTGTTGTTTCCACTCCTTATTACGGATATTAGTACTCTTAAT